AAACCAAAACTATACCAATGTTCAAACGAATCGGGGAAACTAAAAATTGAAGAAATTGCTAATTTTTATCAAGAGGTGGGGAATAAAAATAAAGAAATATTTTTTACAATGAAAAGGAACCCCAAGAACCGTGGCTTTTTCTGAAAATAGTAACAGTGGATAGAAATTTTTTCATTAAATTTTATTAAACAAGTTTTTCCATAATTATATTCAATTGTTGATCATTTCAGAAAAAAAATTTCCTAAAAATTTAAAGGATTTGGATGGAGACGATGTTATGATTTTAGATGCATTAAATACTATTTATGTTTGGATTGGTAATGGAGCTAATACACAAGAGAGAGATGCTGCTAAAAGCACAGCACAAGTAAAGATACATATTTAATTATTAGATAAGATTTTAAAATTATAAAAATCAAATAATTATAATGAATCAAAAAATTTCTGAAAAGGAATTCAAATGATAAGATCAGATAACCAGTTCGTTATTTTGAAACTTAATCCCGTTACAGAATCTCGAGGTCAGACTTCCGAATACAAATCAGACACCATATCTTCGTGTAAAATTGTCGAAACTTGAAAAATTTGTTAAATTTCGATACAGCTCGAGGATACTGTTTTTTCTCGAGAACAGTAAACTAGAGGATTACCCCAATCGCTAGTTGATAGTAGGCATATTTTGAGTATTTAAATGTTTAATCTCGTTTAATTATACTTAAATTATAACAAATTTTGACGAAATATTCAAAAATATTTTTATAATTTTTAGAAATATTTGGAAACTGACAGCATGCCTCGACACAAAAAAGCAGCAATTGAAGTAATTTATCAAGGAGAAGAACCTCCACCATTCAAAAAATTGTTTCCAGAATGGGATGAAAAGTTATTTAAAACGGTAAGGATTTGGCGTTGGTCTAGTTTATACGTCCAATGAACTTTTATGCGTCCAATGAAACTTTATGAGTCCAATCAAAAAATAATTGGATTTTTCTTAGTATTGCAAAGTTGGGATATGGTTCCAAAGCATTTCTTCATGTTCGGGACCTACACCCACTGGGTCTAGGACCATTCCTTGCTCTATCCCTCGAAATTTCGGTAAGTTATAGCAAATTTTTAAAAATTTCGAAAAAACAATTATAACTTTCCAAAATTTCGAGGGATAGGGCAAGGAATGGTCCCAGATCCAGTGGGCATAGGTCCCGAACATGAAGAAATGGGTACTTTATGGATATGTCACCCCCCTCCTATTTTGAGTCTCAGAGTTTTCCTTAAACGTAGAAAATGGTCAGAGATTATTTTCTTCTCCATGTCAATCATTTTTTTCTTCTTCAAGTATTTTGCTTTTTTATTTTGCCTTTTCACATATTTTGTACTTACATTTCACTCATTTCGTTTCTAAATTTACCACATTTCACTTATTTTGCTTGAAGAAAGAAAAATACTGACATGGAAAAGAAAATAATCTCTGACCATTTTCTACGTTTAAGGAAAACTCTGAGACTCAAAATAGGAGGGGGGTGACATATCCATAAAGTACCAAGAAATGCTTTGGAACCATATCCCAACTTTGCAATACTAGGAAAAATCCAATTTTTTGTTAATTGGACTCATAAATTTTTCATTGGACGCATAATCTAGACCAGCGCCAAAGATTTTTTTGAAAAAAAGTTTAAAATAAAATTTTACAGCCAAGAACTGTTGAGAATATGAGAAAATTGCTTTTTAAATAAAAAAGGAAGAAGAAAATTAATTGTCAAAAAATTATTTAAAAAATAATTATTTACACAACACATACTAGCTTATTTGAATATTAACTAGGGTTGTACCCCGAACGCTCGGGGGCGGGTATGTCGGGGTACGGGGTTTTCCAATTGTTTCGGGGCGGGGTTCGGGTCGGGGGAGCAAAATATGGTCGGGGTTCGGGTCGGGGTACGGGGGTTTAGAGGAAAAATTTTTAGAGAAAAAAATGCTCAAAAATAGTTAGAAATCGATATATTTTCGTTGATTTATTCAAAAATTAAGTAGGATTTGAAGAAATTAGAGAGGATTTGAAGAGATTAAAGTGTATAACTTGGGATATAAGTGGATCTGGAGGGATTAAGTGGGATTTTTAGGGATTAAATCCTCCGATTACCATTCAACTTCCATTTACAGCGCCGCAGGCAAAATTTTGAATATTTGGAAGATCCTTAAGGCAAAAATCTTCCATTTTTTGCGCCGCATGCGAAAATTGGAGAATTATAGAAGGCTAGAAGCCAGATTTCTTCCGTTTTTTACGCCGCAGGCGAAAATTTTGAAAATATTGGAAAAATCTTCGTCGGAAATTTGCCTTAAAAATTTTCGGAAATTTTTCCAAAATTTCGGAAATCAGAAAGAAAAAAACGTCGGAAATCGGAATTTCGACCCACCTCTGATACAGGGGTTGAAGGATTAAGGGTGGTTCAAGGGATATCAGTTAAAAATAAAATTAATATTTTCGAATTAAAATTTAACTCGTTTATAATTTGTTTTTGTAAAGAAATATAGAAACAATAGAGTTCTCCTTATATGGATCCGAACCCAATTCTATATTAACAAAATATCGGCTAAAACCAACGACTAAGCCACTCAACCACAAGTCTCTTAATAAAGAAGGAAAGAAAATTATGATATTTCATTCATTTTTCTTTCACAAATAATAAAAGCAAAGTACAGTGAGGTGCATATGTTTAGACTCACACACCTATTTTTGATTAAAATTTTAATACAATTTTTATACTTTAAATTTTTCAAATTTTTTTTTCGTTTTTATATAACATTTTAAATGTATTCTTATTAGGAAAATTCATTCCGGGAAAATAATTTTAATTTTTTTAGTTTTTTTGACTTAAGTGAACTGAGGTCAAATTTTGCTGGTGCAAATGTTTAGACTCGAAATTTTAATCGAAAATATCTCGTAGTATAATGTCCCAAAAATTCTACAAAAATTCCAGTGGACATTTCAATTGATATAGATAAACGAAAAAAAATTGATATAGATAAATTCAATTGATATAGATAAACGAAAAAAAAATTTGAAAAATTTAAAGTATAAAAATTGTATTAAAATTTTAATCAAAAATAGGTGTGTGAGTCTAAACATATGCACCGCACTGTATAATGAGTGGAAATTTTTTAAATTTTCTCCATTAATTTCTCCAAAAAATGACATTTTTTAGGGGTATAAAACCCCGATAACCCCGAAATTTTTTTGGCCGGGGTACGGGGTTTTCACTTTTTTTCGGGGCGGGGTTCGGGTCGGGGAGAATCGTGAAAAAATCGTTCGGGAACGGGGTCGGGGTTCGGGGTACGGGGTCGGGGTACAACTCTAATATTAACTTAAATTGCTAATTTTATTAACGTAAATTCTGCATTTCTAAATTTAGTAAAGTAACCCACTATAAAATATTCAAAATAAGGTTGTCGGCTCAGGATATCCGTATCCGAAAAGGCAGGATATCCACAAAATTCAGGTCGGAAATTCGACCGGAACGAATAATGTGCTATTCTAATTACGAAATCCAACAAGACTTATTTTGCTAATATCAAATTAAATATGTAGAAAAAAATATTTAAACAAGTGTTTTTAAAAATATCTTTTTAAATTTTATTTTTGATTGCAAGTTTAATCTGCAAGTTATAATATTTTTTATTATGAAATATTATTTAAAGAATAGTCTAACATACTATACTTCTTTGCTATAAAAATAAATACAATCACATGCAAAATTTTTTATGGCTCAAAGTTTAAGCCAAAATTTGGCTAGCGAGCCAAAATTTGGCTCGCGAGGCTTTTATTGCTTAATTTCGCTTTTGTTAAAAAAAATTTTTTTGTAGGAACAAGAATTAACTAGAATTTTTCAAGGGAGGAATTTTTATTTGTGCAGAAGTGAAAGTTTTGTGAAAAGGGAAAGTTTTATATAATATTCCTATATATGGTTGTTGGAATTTTTGTGAATTTTTTCTAATGTTGGAAATATTAAAAATAAAAGTGGGTTATACTTTTGAAACACATTTTTTAGCAAAAATTTCGAAAAAAAATTAATTAAAATTTTTGTATCAAATAAAATTTATTAAACTTTGGGAATGTTCGTAGATCAGTTAAATTATCTAAATACAAAATCTCAAAAAGATAACTTGAGCAACAAAAATTGTAAAAAAATTCAAGGCGGTTATACTTTTGAAACAGAGTGTATTCTTTGTTTTGCAGCTAGCTGATTTTTAAACTTTTATTCATAAACCGAAGATTTAATTATTGTAATTTGTTCTGTTATTTGAATAACAATTCTTTTAATTCTAGTTAATTCTTGTTTCTTTACAAAAAATTTCGTTTTAACAAAAACGAAATTAAGCAATAAAAGCCTCGCACTCGTTCCCCTTTCGAGCCAATTCTTGGCTTAAACTTCAGAGCCAAAAATTTTTAATTGACAAATTTTGCATGTGATTATACTTCTTATAGCAAGGACTTGTAGTATGTTAAGGGTGGCGTGTTTAGTATAAAATGTGTAGCTTTTTAGTTGTAATGGGAGTTAGTCAAGTTGCCAGTTAGTCAGTCTTATCCCTTAGCCAAGCTATATTCTACTCTAGCGCATAGTTTCTATTGTATTGTTACCTTCGTGATAAACCTTGTTAGTTAGTCTAGCCTTTTAGTTAGTACCGGACATACCGTAAGTCGATACACAACGGTGGCGGTTATCACAGTTAAACTCCTAATCGAGTAGTCGAAACCTACGTATAGTAGGCTTTTAAATAATATCCAACTGAGGTTAACTTGTTAATTACATAATTTTTTCTGTCAGGCAGCTGTTTTATATATTCCAATAAATCCATTTTACCAAAAGATTTATTAGTATTGCTTAAGGAAACTTGCCCGGAGACTTTTTTGTTTTTATATTCTGACAAAATTAGTTTTTACAAAAATTAATTTTTTATTATAAAAATTAATTTCAATTAATATTTTATTATAAAAATTAATTTCAGAAGAATATGAAAATTTTAACTTTTATTTTCCTTTTCTCCTTTGTGACGCCTATAATTGGATCAGGAGGGGGAAGTTCTTCAAAAAGGGGACGATTTAATCCATATCAATCAAGTGGAACCGAGCCAGAACCAAGCAACATCGTCGGGTCTAGTTCTAGTGACCCTGTTACCCATGCAGAAGGCACGACGTCTTCTTCAGTTCACGCTCCTGTAGAACTTCATCATATGGGAAATTTGTTCTCCAATATTCCATTTACTGGCTATCATCAATTTGATCAGCGTTTTCCGCAACTTTTGAATCCTTCAACTGATCAATTTGCTACTACTACATCACCTGTTCCGCATCAAATGCAATCACTTGAACGACAAAATATGCCCGTGCATCATATGAAAAAAATTGAGAATGAAGTTTCAAAGCCAATGCATTCGAAAGCCTTTAAGTTTTCTAAAAAAATATTTCTAATTATTAATTTTCTATATCCGGCATTTCAATTAACCCTATTAAATTAATATACAAAAATTTTTAGATCGTTATAATTGGATTGAAAAAGCTGAAGAGATTGATAATTATCACTTGGCTGAAGAAGTGATAAATGATCAGTCTTACATTTATGTTGGTTGTGATCGTTGTAGGAGATATGTAATTTTAATTAAAATATTAATTTTAATTTATACTAATTAAGTTTATGTTTAAACAAATAAAACATTTTATTTCCCATAACAAATATCATTTGAAAATAGAGAAAAGAATAAGTGATATAGCTAAAAATAAAAAAGGTAAAATATTATTTAAGGATGCTTCACCCAGCAGCATTTAAAACAATTAGGAGGGGATTAAACGATCCAAAAAGGAAAAAGAGAAAGCATAGTCGATGCACCGGTAGCTCATTGGTAGAACTCCTAAATATAGTGAGCGAAAGCGCCTAGCAACAACTAGCAGGTGGTCACAGGTTCGAATCCTGCCTGGCTGCCAAACATTTGCAAACTCTTTCTAAAATAAACACAAACATTACACTTTATCACTAACATCTAACTTCTAAATAATTCTGTTTATTATTATTTTTTATTCAATGTAATTAAAGATCGAGGCTTTAATTTAGTCAGTGTCCGTTCGAAAGCATCACTCGCCGAGTTGAGTTGAATAATGCCAAAATCAGCTTGATCCGATTACTAAAAAGAAATCTGTAGTAATTTATTACTAAAAAGAAATCTGTAGTAATTTATTTTATGCAAAAACATTTTTCTCGAGATATAACGCTTTAAAAAATTTTTGGTCGTTGTAGACAAAATTTTGCACCCCTGTGTATTCTTTATTAAAATACATATTGTTAAAATAAATTTACAGAAAAGAAAAGGTTACTTAACCAATATAATAATTTGAAAAATAAAATTCTTGCAAAAGAAATAAAAGATTTGGATAGAGAAATAATTACATTCAATGATGAAGCTTTATTAGTTGAATGTGAAGTATGTAGGGCAGCTGAACTTTCATTTATGGTTTTTTAACATATTTTATTTTAATAAATTTCAAAATATTTACAGTTTTTTGAACTTGATGCTTATCCACTTAAATCACATTTTTTAACTGAAAAGCATAAAGATGCTGCTAAACGTAAATATTTTTAACCATTAATTTATTTTAAATTTATTTATTATTTTATTTTTAAATCGGACTCGATTCAATCCTCCATTCTTAGGAATTTTATTAAGAATCATAACTCGTGTTAAACATTAACGCAGTGTCATTCAACGATATATACATATTTAAAAAATATTTAATTATTTTCAAATTTAAGTTTGTAGGGTCATTTTAGTCACGACTAAAAATACTCACCAAACATTTTTAGAGGTCCTGACACTAAACCTTTCCCTTTGAAATATAACTAAAATTTTACAAACCTCAAGACAAATTTTATTTTTAAAATTCTCTAAAATGAAATCCTTTATTTGGCAACAAATTTCGGGTCATATTTGTCGACCGAAAAATGCGTGACCGGACAATCCGTCAGTGGACAATCCGGCAGTGGAAAATCCGTCAGTGGACAATCCGTCAGTGGTCGGACAATGCGTCAGTGGACAATCCGTCAGTGAACAAATTCGTAATTCCTACCCATGCCCTGACTACCGCGGCCAAAAATTTTCGTTAAATCGTCTGGGGGATTATGAGAGACATCGAAAATTTGGAGATTAATGAGGAAATCGGACGATTTAGCTGAATTAAAGGATATAAGTGGATTTGGGAGATATCGGGGAATTCAAAGATATTGTAGGATTAAGGGGAATATACAAGATTTGCAGTATTCTGGTGGTTATCGAGAATTTAGGGAGATTAAGATGGATTTCGTGGATTAAGTGGGATATCAAGGGATATACATAGCTCCTATTCCGTCTAACTCCATTGACATTTTTGTAAATCCATCGACAATTTAACCAAATTGCCCAGGATCTCCCAAATCCACTTATATCCTTTAATTCAGCTAAATCGACCGATTTCCTCATTAATCTCCAAATTTTCAATGTCTCTCATAATCCCCCAGACGATTTAACGAAAATTTTTGGCCGCGGTAGTCAGGGCATGGGTAGGAATTACGAATTTGTTCACTGACGGATTGTCCACTGACGCATTGTCCGACCACTGACGGATTGTCCACTGACGGATTTTCCACTGCCGGATTGTCCACTGACGGATTGTCCGGGAGCCCGAAAAATGTGCATTCGAGAGGCAAAAGGCTCTCCGCAAAAGGCTCTGGCAAAAATACATTTTTTCTGGAGTCAACTTCTTTCCCTCATTCTTAATTTTCCTCGTGTAATCAAATGATAGTTATTAAATTATTAAATTTTAGTTCACATAATTGTAAATATATTCGAGAAAACATTTAAGGTTTTTTTACCCTGTATTAATATTAAATTTAATAATCCTTAAAAAAAGTTCTTGATTTTGAAAGGTGGACCCCCTCCCCCCCCCCCCCCCCCCAATTTTTTTATATATTATGTAATGAAACAGATTTATAGTCTAGATTTCAAACGCGTTTTTTCGGTATCGGTATTTCGGTAAAAATACCGCGGTATTACCGAAAAATACCGCGGTAATACGGTACCGTGAATCACACTAGTCTAGATAATTTTTCCAATTATTTGAAGCAGTAATAATAGCTTATAACCTGTTACTCTCCGTTTATAAAGTTATAATCCCTCGATATTGGGGATTTATTTATTTAATAATTTAATAAATTCGAATTTAAATTTTGAAAACTGTAGTAAAGCTTGTCTATTAATAAGCATTTACTTCATTAATTTCTTTTACTCTTTATTATTCCCCCCAAACTGCCAACCTATCATCTGATTACCTGAGGAAAATTAAGATAGAGAGGAAAGGAGTTGACTGCAGAAAAAAACATTTTTGTAAAATGCCTTTTGCGGATATGTGTCCCTAAGGCTGGGCCTCTCGCACCTTGGTTCTGAAAGTTAATATATTTATCCAGAGTATGGCACTGCTAGTGAGCGTTCTATCCGTTATGAAAATGTGCAATTTATAGGTAAATAATTTAATTTTCTTATCTATTATTAAATTAACTGGCTAAATGTCCTTTTCTGTTATAATATTGTTTGCCAAATGATCAAATACTTTCAAAGTATTTGATCAAAGAGGTCCAAATTAGGTCATGGTCAGTCATTTGTTCCTTGCTTAATTTAAAAAGTGCAGAAAAAAAAACTGACCATTTCGTACATCAGCTTAAACGCGGACGGGGAGGGGAGGTCATAAGTCAAGGTTAGGATATCGAGGTTGTGATTATCAAAACATTTAATGTTGGATTTTAAATTTAAGTTATATGTATGAATAAATTTAAATAAATAATATTTTTATCAATAATTTAATTAGGCGGACAAGAAATCTGGGATTTTTCTAATCCTCAACAAGCCGAAATTGATTACCAAAATGTTCAACAACCACAAATAGCCGGGCATAATTTTGGACAATATGGCGTAGATCAATACGGTTGGTATCAATTTATCATGAATTTTAACTTAATTGATTAGGGCATTATGGCGGAGGTTCTGTCCTACAAATTCAACAAACCTTTTATTATCCAACTTTTTATACAAAATTTGAACAAATGTACCTTTAACTTAACGAAATACCTGTGACATAGTACTTGTAATACTGTCTTTTTGTTTCTTAACTAGTATATTAGGTATAATAATATCACTAAAATTCAGTACATTAAAGTGTACTTTCAGCAAAATCAGTTTAGTATCGGGAATTAACCAGATTGGGAATTGACAAATATCGAAGTCAAATACAATTTAATTTAACAGAATTGGCTTATACTGTATTAAATTTAATTTTTTCGATTATAATTTTTTTATTGTACATATCCTTAGGTAATCAGGCAGGAGAAATTTCAGCTTCTTTACCTCAAATAACAGCACCGGATTATGCTAAACCACAATGTGAGTTTAAATAAAATATTTAATTTAAAATTATAAATTTAGATTGGGATTTAATACAACAAAACCCAAAGCTCTTTATGGACTACAACCCACAAGTGGTTGCTGGGCATGGTAATAAACTCATATAGTAATTTAAAATTTTTACACTATTTAACAAAATATTTATGAGAATATAAATTTACACTTGGGAATTGTTCTATATTATCTATTATGAAAAAATTTAACCAAAGCTTTGATTTGAATCTTCTTAGACTGATTAAAGAATAGAACTACAGTAAATCGATTAGAATAGATACTGTATTACTTAAACTTACCTTTTACTCAGATATTAATAATTACTAGGGATCGGATTTATTTGGATTTCCATATTTTTTTCTCGGCCTTGTTGGGACTAAAATGATCCATATTTTATCATTTTACGATTCATATTTTTATCAATATTTTAGATTTTTATGTTTCAGTCCGTATTTCGAGAGTTTTAGTCCATATTACACGTCCATATTTTTCGATTGTTAGTCCATATACATAAATCCTAACCCTAAGTATTATTAATATACTAAATATTAAATTGTTAATATTTTTCATATAAAGATGCGACATTATATCCTAGCACTGAAGAGGAAGAACAACAGAGTAATATTTTATATTAAAATTTGTGTTTCTGTGTTTATCCGCCCACATTTTTCTATCCTCATTTTCCTCATCAAACATTTGACATATGGCGGATAAACACACAATACCACTTTTGTTAACAAAAAATTTTTATTTTATATGTAGTGCTTTTACGTGCGCAAGAGGAGTCAGCTCGAAATGCTCCTTTCATATCGGGGAACCTGACAATTGGTGGTAATAAACTATTTTTAATTTAAATTATTTGATGCTGAACAATCTTTTTTTCAATTTTCATTTGTTAATCAAAAAATATTTTATTCTGTAATAATCATCTACGAATATATGTATGTAATAGGTAATACCAAAATAATCTTTTGTTATTCTGAAGGATATGTTCGACCATTTACTTTGATCGAACTTAATATAAAATTAGACTATAAATGGGGTTACGTACATATGTATATGTGTATAAATATTTTAATAATTAAGGACAACATAACCAAGGACAGGTATCAATGTCTAACCAAGGTAAAAAATATTGAGGACGGTTAAAGTCAATGAAACATTTATCTCCACAAATACCTAACTATAAAGCCAACC